TTTTTTGTAAAAGAGATTCAGAATTCCTCAAATTATTATAGAATCACTCTATGACTCAGAAATTCCCTCCTAGATATAGATGCCCAAAACAAATGTCCATACAAATACTTATAAACACATGTATAGGGTAGGGAAGGTGGCTCAATGGTAGAGTGCTTGTCACCCATGCACGAAGCCCTGGGTTCAATTCCTTAGCACCATATAAACAGAAAAGGCTGGAAGTGGAGCTGTGACTCAAGTGGTAGAGTGCTAGCCTTGAGCTGAAGAGCTGAGGGACAGCACCCAGGCTGAATTCAAGCCCCATGACCAACAAACAAAAAACACAAGTATAGAACCCAAGTAATGTAAACAACCTAAATGATGAACAGACATACAAAGAGTGTAATAAGCCCACACATTAAAATATTATTCAATGATAAACAAGAATGAACTATTAAAAACATGAAACAATAGGTATTAACCTTAAAAGTATTACAGTAAGTGAAAGAAGCCAATTACAAAAAATCAAATATTGTCTGATTCCATATACATGAATGTACAGAAATGCCAGTTAGATTAGCCATTTCCCAAACCTTAGAAGGAAAGGAAAGGGACAAACAGTGAATGGGTAAGAATTTCTTTTTGAGATGATGAACAGGCTCTGAAATTAGACAGTGGTGACAGTTGTAGGATTCTGTACTCTATCCAAACTACTGAATTGTAAACTTTATGTCAGGTAGCTACTGGACACAAAAAAATACAATACTAATATTAAACAATGCTTTTAAATTTACCACTAATATACAGGTTTTAGAATAATGTAAATGCTAAATAATAGTAAAGTCAAATAAAAGTGAGAAAACTTGAAAAGCAATTGCACCTTTTATTTCATTTCTCTCCTAAACATTTAAGCCACAGCAAACCAGAAAGAGGGGGACATTCAGGTCCACAAATATGATACCTCTATTTTTTTCTTCTGCCATAATGGAGACAATAAAATTCTCATTTTAAGTGCACAATCAATAGAATTCTTTCACACCAGCCTTTGGAAATTCATTTACGGTAAAACATCACACACACACAGACACATAGACACAGACACAGACACACACACAGACACACAGACACACACACACACACACACACACACACACACACACACACACACACATTTCCCTTGATACCCTATGTATAAGTACTAAGAAGTTTGGTATGACAACTACAAAAATGTGCCCTCTCAGATTTCTCACTACAAAGAGAACACTGCTGACCAATGGTGCTGAGTTCTCAAACCACTTATCTTGCTGGGAACAAGCCAAGATTCCAATGAGTTGTCTGCAGCCAATGACTGGGCATGGCAGGCATACTTAATACAGGGCTTCTTGGCTGACTATACTCCTCTGACAGGGCAATTTTAGATTATTACTCTCTTCACCTTTGCTGTTTCTTTCTTAAAGGTGTAGTGTTGTGTAAGACTTTTCCTACCCGAACTGTCCTTGCCTTTTTCCACCCACTGGGATTTTAGCTTCCACTTAATAACTACAAGTTTTTGTGGGCCCAACAACATTGTTTTATAAGGCATGGGTACAGATCACAACTAATTAAAGATGCCCATCCATTTTATCAGCAAATGGGTTTTCCATGAATGATGTGCACTGCTGTTGTAAATACAAATAATTTGGCACTTGAAAAATGGGATCAACAAGTATAGAAGTAAAACAAATATGAGGTAAAACTCAAAATGAATATCAGGCTGTAGTAATTCCAAGTCATAAGAAGAAAAATACAGCTTAAACAGTAAGACTGTTTAATTCTCAGGTTCAGCAAATGCAATTTTGACCAAATGCAGTTAAAACATAAAATAAAATTTTGGAAGTCAAAAATACAGCTCAGGCCTGGGATTGTGGCTTAGTGGTAGAGTGCTTGTCTAGCATGCATGAAACCCATTCCTCAGTACCACATAAACAGATTTTTAAATTGTCAGAGAAACACCTATTGTTTTATGATAACCAAGAGAAAGAAATTAATCAATATATCAGATTTTGTATTTTCATCCCAACTACTTGTACGGTTAACATTAAAGAAGAACAAAGAATATTCTAAAAAGGAACAGTGATATAACAAGAAGAACTGAGCTTTCTTTGTGTAAGGTAACTACTTTTTAACATATAGATAAAAACCATATAACAAAACAATTAAAATACTTAGAAATAAACTAAAAGACCTAATAACAGTAGACTTGAACAAAAGGAAAGATATCTTATTCCTGAATCATATGCATGTATACACATGTACATAAATACCCATACAAATACAGACATATTTCTACTAACTGTCTATTGTTGGCTAGGAGGACTTAGAGTTAACTTGAAAGGACTTTCAACGGCCACATCTGGGCCAATTTAGGTAGCAAAAAAAAAAAAAAAAGACAAAAAGACAAAATTGCTGGATGCTGTAATCCCAGCTATTTAAATAGAAGGCTAAGATCTGAAGATCAAGGTTCAAAGTCAGTCAAGGCAGGAAAATTCTGAGATTCTTATCTTTATTAAGTAATTAATAAACTATTTAATAAAACAAATAATTCATTTAGCATTTAAGAATTTAATGTTAATAAAGTATTATATTAAAATATTTGTTGATATTAATAAAGTATTGACAGAGTATTAATATTAATAAAGTAATAATTAACTACCAAAAAGCCAGAAGTAGAGCTGTAACTCAAGTGGTACAGTGCTAGTCTAAAGCAAAAAAGCTCAGGGACAGCCTCTAGACCCTGAGTTCAAGCCCAGAACTAGCACCCAAAAAAAAAAAAAAAGCAAAACTATATTATTATAACTCATATGTTATATATTATACCTCATTCAGTAATAGATAAGTATAAAAAAGTTCTTCATTATGGCAGAATCTCAACTCATAAGTTAAAAATTTAGCTGCTGTAACTTCAACTGATTCAAACAAGATGTGTCAGTGAATACTAAAACTATTTGGCAAAAGTTTGGAGGAAAATAATACATATTAAGTGGGCAACAGTGTCTCAGGCCTATAATCTTATAAGGCTCAAACCTGGAGGATGGAGGTTCCAAGCCAGCCCAGGTATAAAAGTTCATCAAAATAACCAGCAAAAAGTCAGGCTGGACAGACAATACTTCAGTTGGTAGAGGGATAACCCTGAGCAAGCTAAGCAAGTTGCAAAATCCTCGAGTTCAAGCTTCAATACTGGCAAACAAACAAAAGAAGACAGGGGTTTTTAAAAATGTAGGAACTACCTCTCCACAGCCTTATTACAAGAGAAAAAATAGTAAACCTGCAGGAAGCATACACTTACTTATGTCATATTATCAATAAGGGGCCTCCCAACATGATACATTAAGAACAAACTATGATTGCTATGGCATTTCTACTTAAAAAATTAACGTTCTCATCTAATAATAATAAAATATTAGATAACCTCAAATAACTAGTCTATACTAACTACACAAAAATGTGAATGTTATAAATGATAATAACTGAAAAATTCTCCCAGTGTAGGGAACTACTGAAACATAACAATGAAAATACATAAAACAGTATTTTCTTTTGCTGTAAAGACCATTACTGGGACAACTAGAGAAACTTTAATAAGATCTGTATACTACATGATAGTATTGTATAGAAGCTGATTGATTTCATAACTCTTTTGTGTATGCAAATATTTCTTTCTGGAAATGGAAAGAGGAGGTTTAATACAGTGACTGTAAGACACTTGAAATGACAGTCTGATACCACAATAGAGTGAGTTGTAGCACTGGTTTGTTTTGTTTTGTTTGGGGAAGGGGGGATATTCAGTCATGACACAATGTAGGAAGGCTTTGGAGTAAGGCCAGCATGAGCCGCAAAGTGTGTGAGCCTCCTGTCTCCAACTGACCACCAAAAAGCTGGAAGTTGAATTGTGGCTCAACTGGTAAAGCACTAACCTTGAGCAAAAAAGGCTAAGGGACAACTTAGGGACAGTGAATGCAAGCACACGTAAGCACACACATCAAAGCAAAACCTCCTTAGAATATTTTAGGCATTCTAGAGCAGTAATCATCCGAGTGCTATTTCAAAGTAGTGTTCACTTCTTTATTTTTTAATATCACTCAACGGAAAGTTTAGCATAGTCCTTAGTACATGGGAATCTCTCAGTAAAATAAATGTTGCATAAGTGAGAGAAACAGAGAGAAAGTCTGCACAGCTTGTTATTACTCTCCATTACACAATACAAAAATATCTAATTTTCCACACATATTGTATAAGAAATGAGAAAAACAAGAACTGAACTTGGGTACTGCAGGTGTCTAGGGGTAAGAGGAAGAAGAAACAAAGGAAGGCAGCAAAGAAAGATTAAGCATTATGGAAGGGGTGATAGTGCTGCACGATGGAAGGCTATTTTCCACATTAACCATACTTAACTGTATCGAATACACAAATACCAGTCAGTACTTCTCTGATCTCTCACACCAGTGAAGCACAATGCAGGAAAATGTTATTTTTTTTAAAAAGAATAAATTAAAATTTTTTAACTTCCCTTTCATAGGATTTTTTAGTCTCACTTGGCAGTGTTTATAGAGAAATGTTAACCTTTGGTAAAGTCTATCGCTATAAAATATATAATTAGAAATCCTGGAATGTGGCTTAGAGCTTGCCTAGCATGCATGAAGTCCTGGGTTCGATGCCTCAGTACCACATAAACAGAAAAGGCCAGAAGTGGCATTATGGTTCAAGTGTTAGAGTGGTAGAGTGCTAGCCTTGAACAAAAGCAGCTCAGGGACAGTGCACAGGTCCTGAGTTCAAGCCTCAGGACTGGAAGGGAAGGGGGGGAAGGGAGAGGAGGAAAATCAAGTAGCTACAGTAATTAAGCTGAACAAAAATTAACACAACAGATGAAATGCTAAGCAAAATGAAGTAACTGAAACAAATCTTTTACATGCATCATGCATCAAAATAGCAAAAAAAAAAAAAAAAAAGAAAGAAAGAAAAAAGAAATACTCAAAGGTTTTTACCTTAAATCTCTTGTCCTGCAATACTTTCTTGATGGCAACCAGTTCTCCTGAATCACAGAGTTTGGCTTGATATACTACACCAAATGATCCATTTCCAATCACTTTAGTGTCTGTATAGCTGACTTCTTGTGGCCTGTCTGGACCCTGCCCAGGAGTTGCCACCACTGTGGTCACCTTGCTGCCATCCTTATCTCCTAAAGGGAAAAAAGAGATTTATTTAAAAAGATAAAGTAAGAATTGTGCAAAAGCATACTATAAAAACTGCCTAGGCATACAAAGTTATATTCTTACTACAAATCACTTTTAAATGCTCATTTAGCTCCTAATATAGAAATGTTTTAATTAAAAGCCATCTTTAACCACTATTCAGTTATTCTACAGATAGGTAGCATGGTTCGTTTATACAGGATATAAACAAAATATTATGTGATGGGAATAAAAACTTCTCATCAAGTAAATATACTGTCTTATATTAAAAGTAGTAGGAAAGCCAAGAGTGATGATAACTATCTGTAATCTCAGCATTTGGTAGGCAGAAGCATCCTAAATTTGAGAATAGTCTGGGCTATTACATAGCATGACCCTATCTCAATAAACAAGAATAGGGGCTAGAGGTGTGGCTCAGGTGGTTGAGCACCAGCCAATGAGTGAAAGCATCAAATAATGAGTCTCAGACTCAGAATAGATAATAGGAAGAATGTTAAATTTGCCTAAGATCATATAGCAAATAGTGGACCCACCATGATTTATATGTAATTATAAAGGACCTAGTTTTTGCTTTGAGGACTTTCACCTGAAAATAAAATATACAGCTGAAAAAAATCTAAATATGCTAATTCTACTCAGACAATTCTAAAGATTTCTAAATTTTGCTTCCCTGTACCTTATTTCCTTTAAAAAAAAAATAATAATAACACAATAAACCAGGCACGGGTGGCTCGCGCCTGTAATCCTAGCTACTCAGGAGGCTGAGATCTGAGGATCATGGTTCAAAACCAGCCTGGGCAAATAAGTCTGTGAGACTCCTATCTCCAATTAACCACCAGGAAACCGCAAGTAACACTGTGGGTACAGTGGTAGAGCACTCGCCTTGAACTGAAGAGTTCAGGGACAGTGCCAGGCCCAGAGTTCAAGCCACAACCAACAAAAAGGAGCAAAACAAAACAAAATAACAACATAATACCTTTTGGAAAACGGTTGTATGGGAGGAAGAATTTTAATTTGAGATTAATAAACGTAAAATCTAAAAGCAAAATCAAACCTGTTCTGAAGTTAACCCCATTCACAAGTAGTTGAACAGTCTAGTCCCTGCTCACCTGCAGCCCTCTCACCTCTGCTTTCCTTCATCTCTACTAACAAGCTCAGGGCTCCCCAATTCAAGCTCTAGAGCCACACGTTACTTAACATGTAGGCATAGTCAGTCCAAAAGCATCTTACTCTTTGAGTTCTTAACTTATTCTGAACTATCTAGCACCCGATTTTTAAAAGCTTTAAATTGTTCTTTTTATGGTTTTAGAATAAAAATAGGTTCTAGAGACTAGTATTATCTTAAAATGGTAAGTATGGCTCCTCTCGAAGAGGCCCTCTGGCCTCAAGTGGTAGAGCAGTTGTCTTGGGCTGAAGGGCTGAGGGACAGCGCCCAGGCCCAGAGTTCAAGCCCTATGACCAACCAACCAACAAACAAAAAGTTTACTTTATGAAAGATACAAAAGCATTAAGTAAGCACAATAAATGGTATATACACATAACTAAATGATTTGATTTACAAATCATCTTGTGGCTGCATATCTTTTAACATGTATATCTTTAGTTCTGAGGTAAAATACCCAATCAGGTATAATTTAATTGGCACAAGCAACAAATCAGCACAATATCATTTGTGGAAAGACAACTCAAATCTTGTGGACATAATAATATTTATATAAAACATTATATATGCTTTGAATGCATTCAGATCCTAGCAAAAGTCAACTTAAGTGCTCAAAATTTTCAAATGTTCCCTCTGAGTCTCAACTCTAGATAAAATAAATCTTAGATACATTTGCTAAAAGGCCAATTTAATCTCAGTTCTATGTCCCATCCCTCCAAAACCGTTAATCTTAACATAAATGCTACCATAAGTTATTTTCTCTTATTTGAAGATTAACCCTTTCTTTTCCAGCATTTCTGCATTCCTGAAGAAAGATTCAGTCTTCTGAACTTAAACTCTAAACAAAGAGAAATAACAAGTTGAGATCCAGAAAGATTAAATCCAAATTCTTACAATCCAATTGTTCCAGAGGATAAAAAGCAGAAACTTCAAATTTTAAAACAATCTTTTTCCTAGGTCATCTAAATTAAAATCATCAAAGAAAGATGTCAAAAACTTAGAATAATTCCACTCAACAAGTTGCTCAAAGTCTAACAGGCCTAACTCGTAAACAAAGCATCATTATTTTAATTAATGTTGAAGTTCATAGACTTTAAAGAATGGTTGCAGTACTCCACAATTTTTATTAAAAATGAAAACTACCCCACAGTTCAATGACGATATGTCTTTCTACTGTGTGGTATTATTTCAATAAAGAACACATGAGGCACTGTTTTCTATTTGCTCTAGTAAGATAAGTTAAGCTATAGAAGCAATTGTGATGACTTCTCCCACTTGCCTCCTCAGATTAAACTTCTAAAAATGTCTTTAAATTTCAGAGGTTTGAAAAAGAGTATAAAATATACCTGTCACAAACTCTGGCTAGCATTTCTTTATTGTAACTACTAAGTCTGGGAATATGTATCCCAGAATCATGATTTCAAATGGGAAAGAGCACAAATGAAATAATCCTGCAGAAATATTAAACAGGAAGGCTATATCTATGCTACCATTGAAAGAGATTCTTGCAGCCTCTTAACCTCAAAGGAAGATTTGATGTAGATAAAGACCAATTCTTCACCCATCAAGAGAAATGTACTTAGTATGATAGTAGGAATTAACATTTTTATACTAGAGAAACTGCAGAAAACTCTTATAGGCTCCTGTCTCCAGTATTATCAAATATCTGACTGGATGTACTAAGAACAATGGAGCTCTCACAGACTTCAAGCATTCTGGAATTTTTATTCAGAAAATATCAAGCTCTTTCAGACTGTTATACCAAAGATCTGAAATAACAGAACCAAAAAAAACTACAGGGTAATACCAAGGATGACTTGGCATGAACATTACTAGCACTGGCAGTCAGCCACTAGTGTGCCAAGGGAAAGAATGCGACTGCTTCACAGTGAAATGTCATTGCTTATAAGGAACTTTCTGATTCATTGCCTTTATCTACTTCAATACCTACAATTTAGGCAAGGATATATCCTTCTGTCTACTATGAACATGAAACAAAATGATAAAGATGGGAACTTTAGCACAATCTTTACATGTCTGGCACTGCCTCTGCTTTAAATTACAACCTTTTAAATGATATAAAACTAACTTTATGTCCTTTTTGCTATTGCCCCTCCCAAAGGAGATATTTCTGATAATATAATATAAAAAGATCATCTCCAAAACAACCAGAAATAAATGAACAATTTTCTATGCTTTTTAGCTTAAACTACTTTTTCCAATGATACTTAGGCAACTTTAAGTTTTGAAATTTACATCCTCAAAAAGTCCTTAAAAAATAAAAATTTAAGCTAGGCATGGTGGTTCATACCTGTATCCTAGCTACTCAGAAGGCTGAGATCTGAGGCTTATGGTTCAAAGCCAGCCCAGGCAAGAAAGTATGTGAGACTCTCATCTCCAATTAACCACCAAAAAAGATGAAGTGGAGCTGTGACTCAAGTGGTAGAGGGCCAAAAGTGCACACGTGCGCATGCACACACACACACGTGTGCGTGCATGCACACACAACACACACAGCTGGGCGTGATGCTGCATACCTAAAATCCTAGCTACTCTGAAGGTGGAGATAAGAGGTTGCTGGTATGAAACCATTCAACCAAAATCAAGAGACGTTATCTGTAAAACGAACTAAATGCAGTAAGTCTGCACTCATGGTTCAAGTGGTAGAGCAAGTACCCAGCAAGGGAAAAGAACAATATACTATTTAATTCTTATGACAATCTTATGACACACAGAACAATCATTTAATAAATGGGAGAACATAAGGTATTTTAAAACATTTGCTAATTTACCCAAAGTAACCCTTTCACTAAGCACACCCTACAGAATTCAGACCTGGGCACTCATCCTAACACTTGTACCCTACAACACTACTTTGCCTAAGGACCATGCCAGAGATAACACAAAATTCAATTCCTAAAATTAACTTTCCATATTCAACAAAATTGAACATTCTCAACTATTTTATAAAAGATTATGGTATATACCTACTGGCTATTCTGTACTTTTGAAATATCCCTACTTCTTTTCAACTAACTCTGACTCAGTTTGTATGTAAATGTAAGGCATTTAATTAAAAATACTGTGCACATAGTGTTTCTATAGCTGTAAGAGTTACTTAAACACAACAACAACAACTATTAGGTCTCACTGTGAATAAAACGAGTATCTTCACCCTTGAGCAAGGCCACATTCAATCACAGGGATGTCTACAGTCAGACTCAATCCCAACTGCTGAGACACCTGAACCATAGCCAGCTCTCCCGCAACGCAACAGCTGCCCAGCAAGTCACTGCCACCTGAACCATGCCCCATCTCTTCCGCCTGTCACTCCTGAGGAAACTGTCTGGAAACCAGGCTCCGTTTTCGCGTTCTCCCGAGTAATGAACGCGATACGCTGTGAACAACTTCAAAACAAACCCAAACCCCGAGGCGCCCGAACTCCAACCAACGCGGTTTACAGAATTCACTACAAAATGCGATAAAAACTGCCTTCACTTAAGTTCTCTTTCTCCCGCATCCGGCGAGCCAGCTGGATGCCTTTGGGCATGGTGGCGACTTGGTGTGGATGGCCAGAGATTGGTATCCTCACACAAGCCCCCCAGGTTCGCGGACTCCTCCAGAGGCGCCCCAACGGCTGCGCGGCTCCGAAACCTCAACTCGGCTTTGAAACCCGGGGCGATCTCTCACCAACCTCGGAAAAGGCGGCTTCCGGATGAGAAGCTTGGTCCATTTCCATAACGACGAAGGGCTTAAACCGCCACCACGCCGGGTCTGTGCCCCGCCCGGGTCGGTGCCTAGCCGGCCGGCGGCGGCAAGGCTTTC